AAAAAAAACCAAAGTAACAAAACCAAAACCAAAACAAAAAAGAAACCAACAACAAAACAAAAGAGAGACAAAGACAGTTTGGGGTGGAAGTTGGGAAACCTGGAGGGCGAGGTGGGGGCCGGGTGGGGCGGGCCTTGGGGCCTGGCGCTGACCCGGCGGGGAGGAAGGTGGGCAGCAGCAACCCCCAACCGGAAGCAGCGGACGGGCCAGAGATCCCCCACCCAGCCAGACCCTCCACCCATTAAGTGCTCGCAGAGAAAGGAGGAACCAGAGGGGAAGGAGAGTTCAAACTGCAGGCCTCAGGGCGACGGCGCAGCTGCCTTGGGGCTGTGAATTCTCCCTGTTCTTAAAAACACGTCTCCATGAAAATAACGATTTTTGGCAGAGAGAAGCCGGGCACCCGTGTCGGCTCCCCCAGTCTGGGGTCCGAGGCCCAGCCCAGGCGTCCGTGCCCCTGCGCACTGCACTCTGTGCCACCCCAGCCCCCCCGCCTCGGCAGGGGCGTCCATCAAAGGTCGATTTACAGTATTGAAAAAGAGGTCATAAAAGAGACCCAAATGTCGTCATCATTTTGTAAAAATTCCTCACTCGTTCGCCCGCACTCCTCCCTGGTGCTGCCCCGGCCCCCTCCAGCCCCCAGAAGGGAGAGGAGGGCTGGGGGTGGTCAGGGAAGCCCCCCGCTGCCCGCCAGCTCCTCCCGGCTCTGGTCCATGGCGTCGCTGTCCGAGGCGTCCGAGTCGGAGGCGGTGTCCGAGGCGTGCGTCTCAGGGCAGCTGCGCACCGGCTTCACGATGACGGCTCTTCGCTGCTCCTCCTCCTGCTCCTGCCGGTCCTGGGTGCCCTCGATGTGCTGGATCGCCTGGGGGACAGGCTGCCGTCAGGATGCGGCCGGGGAGCCGCCGTCCCCCCAGCGCACCCCAGAAAGTCCAGCCTACAGCAGTAGGCGCCTGCCAGAGTCTGGGGACAACCAACGCGGGCGGCCACCGCGGGGCCGAGCGGCGCCCCCACCCAGACAGTGCTGCCCGTGGCGGTCACCAGCGGTCGCTGTGTCCGCCGTTCATTTCCGGGTTCCGGTCTGTCCACTCCTGCACAGGATGCCTTTGTCATTAATTTACTAGTCCCTTTGTTAAGCTTGTGTGCAACTGAAATTCTGGGGGGCTGAGGGGGTGCTTTCCCCTATTTGACCTTCTTGGGCTTTCTTGTTTTCCTGTGATAGCACGGGGTCCCCGAGAGGGCCTGGGTGCAGCAATGACCCCAGGTCTGACCCTCAGAGCTGACAACCTGGTTTCTTTCTCCTCCTCAACCTCCTGGCCCACAGCCACCTTCACCCCCACCTGGCCCTGGGGTATGGAGGCGAGAAGAAGTTCCAGGCCGACCCCAGAGAAGCCAGAGAACCTTCCTTGGTACCTGCACGATGGTGTCCAGATTTTGCCGGGACGTGGAAACAGAGTTGATGACCGAGGAGGGGCCCATGGTGACGACGTTGATGTGATGGGAGGGGGGGGGAGGCGGCGCTGGCACGATCACAGTGGGGTGGTGGGTGGGGGCTGGAGGGGGCAGGAGCTGCAAGACAGAGGCCCAGTCTCTCCACAGGCTCTGGGCGCTGCCCCTTTCCCCGGCGGAGGGCGGGGCACAGCTCCAAAACACCTCACTCCACCCAGTGCCCTGTTGGACCCAAGGGAGGGACGCCCGCCCAGAGCCCTGCGGGGCTTCTGCTCGCTGGGCGCCCGCCTGAGTGCCCGCCTGGGCGCCCGCCTGGGTGCCCACCTGGGTCCGCAGGTGCTGCTGTTCTCGCTCCAGTTTTTCCTGGTGCAGCAGCCGCACTTGCTCCTGCTGCTGCTGCAGCTGCACCTGCTGCGCGATCACCTTGAGCTTCTCGGGGTACATGTGGGCCTCCAGCGAGCGCACCTGGGGCACAGAGCCGCTCAGGGCAGCACGGGCACCCACCCACCCGCCCCACTGGGCAGGGCCGCGCCAACCTTCGAGCAGCAGGCCTCGCTCCTGCGCCCGCCCAGCAGGAGCTGCCACCCTGGCAGGGCGACCAAAGTCCTCCCACAGCCCGCGGCCGCCGCCTCACCGGCCTCTTCCCTCCCGCCGGGTCCCGCCGCCCTCAGCCTCCGAGCCTCTGCCTGAGCTGCGCCCTCTCCCTGCACCCTCTCTGCCTACTTGCCCCACGCCACCGTCATCTCCCAGAGAAGCCAGAGAGCACCCCGATGCCCTGCAGGCACACGACCCACGGCAGCTCCATTCTCGCAGAGCCCTGGACTGGTCTCCCCCGACCCCTCCCAGGCAGTGAGCCCTGAGATCGGTCTGGCTGCCCTCAGGGAGCCTCGCTCGGAGGCCCGGCCCAGCGCGGCGCCTCACCTGCTCCTCCAGCATCATGCGCACCGAGCGCTCCTTGTCCAGCTGCTGCCGCAGCTCGATCATCTCCCGCCGGAGGTCCTCCGCCTTCTCGTCCTCCCAGATGTCCGGGGAGCCGATGCCCTCGTCCTTGTCCTCAGCCCGCCGCCGCTTGGGGGACGAGCCACTCAACTCCTGGAAACCCCCGGGGGTTGGTGCGCGAGCTCCGACACCCCGACATCCCCCCGCCAGCACCCTGACTGGGAAGCGGGGCTCCGGCACTGCCGGCCCCAAAGCCGTCAAAGCGGCCCTGCGGGCCGTTCTGCGCCCCACGGACAGCCCATCGCCACAAGGGGGGCCCTGTGGGCCGGCTTCCCAGAGCAATGCCCAGGGCCCGCCAGGGCCGCTCGGGTGGGTCAGCGGAGGTCCCGCTGGGCAGGCAGGTGCCTGACCTGCAGCAGGCGGGACAGCAGGGGAGGTGGGCGCTGCAGCGGGCGGGGGGCCCCGGCTGCAGAGGGCCGGTGCAGAGTGGCTGCGGGGTACCTGGATGAAGCGCTTGAGCTGCGTGTTCTGCTGCAGGAGCCTGGTCTTCTCCTGCTCCAGCGAGAAGATGTACTCCGCCGTCTGCTGGAGAATGGCTGCCTGAGGGCAGAGGGGCGCGTCAGGGCCACGCCGGCTGCGAGCCGCCGCCTCCGGGCAGCCCGCCCAGCCCTCACCCACCTTGCTGAGCTTCTCTCCGTCTGTGTGGGGGATGAGGGTCTTGAGGGACTGGAACCCCGCGTTGATGCTCTGCATACGCCTCCGCTCGTTGCTGTTGGCGATCTCCCGCCGGATCCGCCGCTCCTGGTCTCGCTGCGTCTCAGGGGTCAGCGGGATGTTGGCAAGACTGGCGGGGGCAGGGGCATGCTCAGGCTTGGTGTCCTCCTGCCCCGCGCCCAAAGGGGCCCTGTCCTTGCAGTCCATCGCCAGAAGGCCCCGAGGGTCTCTTGCAGCCCTCTGGGGTAAAAGTGGCACCTGGGGATACCCCACACGGCAGCTCGGCGGGGGCACGGGGCAGTCCCGGGCGCGGGGTGTCAAAACCAGGCCCCGCGCCTGGCTGGCGGGTCCAGGTCGGGCGCAGACAAGCAGACACCTGCTCCCGGGACACCTCCCACGCGGCACAGCCACGTCACAGCACGGCCCAGCCGCGCTAATGCCACAGCGACCAGGCAGGTCCCCTTCGCTCCAGGCCCACCGGCGAAGCCCACCCACCTAAGAGGCCGCCACCCTGTGCCGGCAGGCCGTGGGCCAGGTCACCACAACACACGTGACTACATCTTGCAGGGACAGAGGCGGTGAGAGACGCAGTCAGGGAGGGGAGGCCGCAGGCCGAGCGGCACTGGCAGGAGGCAGAGGCGGCAGGGCCTGCAGGCCCAGTGCCCTGCTCCCCGGGGGGGCCTGTGTGTGGCCTGAGGAAGCATGCCCCCCCTGCAGCTCCCCCTGCCCTGGCCTGATGGCTTCCAGATGCTGGCTCCCGAAGAGGCCACTGGCCCCACCCAAAGCCACAGTCCTGGCTTCTTCCTGCGGGGCCCTCCTGGGGTGACCTGGTGGAGGCCTGGGCTCACAGCCCTGGTTCCATCGGTGGGGAGCCGGGGATCTGAGGGGTGCCCCGAGCCCATACCCATCGCCAGGAGGAAAGGGGTCTGCACCAGTGGAGGTGAGGCCACATCTGTACCCGCTGGAGACACGAAGGCCCCGCGGGCCCCTGCCTGCCCGTCTGTCCACCCGGCTCCCCGCAGGCGCCTCCTGGTCCTGGGCCTCAGTCTCGGCCCCAACAGAGGGCGGCGGGCTGGGAGTGGCCCCTGCCCCAGGGTGCAGGCACCTCCAGGAACCCAGGATGTCTGCACTGAAGAGGAAACCAGCACCCCACTTTACGGATGGGATTTAGGGATCGGGTGGGAACAGCTTTGCGGGGAGACAGCAGCACCTGGCTCCCCCACTCTGGGCCCAGGTGCTCTGCCGGCCGCCGCCCCTGTGGCGCCAGACGTGGCGGGCTCGACGGGGTGCGGTCAGGGACCCACAGGCTCGGCTCGCCTGCCCTTTGCAGGGGGACACACAACCGAGGCCAGGCTGCCAGACCTAGGGCGGGGGGACGCGCCGGGGGGTTCTCCTACCCGCCTGCAGTGGCAGCCCCGCTGACGGTCACACACAGGGCCCACCACCCCTGGGCTGCGGCCCAGGCCCTCCAGACACAGGCCCAGGAGGAGGAGTAAGGGTGCCTGGCTGGGTCGCACCCCACGCCCCTCCCAGCCCCGCACCTCCTAGCCAAGCAGCCACGCCCCCAGACTTCACCTGGGGTCCCCAGTCATGAAATCCTAAGTGCTCCTTTCTCCTGGGTGACCACAAATCAAGGAGACCCTAAAGGCCCGCAGAACCCTAAAAGCCCCAGCCCGGGGGGCCCCAGGGGGCACAGGTCCTGCGAGCCAGGCAGCAGGGCCTAGGCCACAGCCTCCTGCTCAGCAGCAGCCCAAAGGGCCGGGCCGGTCCCTGCGCCGCCGCATCCAGCAGTCCAGCCTCCTGGCCAGCGGCGGCGGGCGCCTCGCGCAGGGCAAGCAGCCAACCTCAGACTTGCCCTCAGGCCACGACTCCCCCGTCCACCTCCTGGGCTCCGCGAACTGGCCTCGATATCCCTGCAGGTGCCCCTGACAGCTCCTTAGACTGGCCGACTCTCGGCTGATGGGTGGGCTCCTGCCTGGCCGGGGTGCTGATTGGGGGAGTCACAACTAACCCGGGGCTCTGATTGGCGGCGAGCTGGCCAACCAGGGGCGCCTATAGAGAAAGGCTGGCCGATTGGAACTTCCAGGTGACACGAGACTGGAAAAAGTGGGGTTTTCTTCACAGGCCTGAGCGTTCTGACAGCTTTCTGAGCTGTACAGAAACAAGACGGGTTTACAGAACATTTACAGGCATGGTGAGGTCCCTCCCCTGGCCACGACGGCCACCGGGCAGGTGAAGGCGCAGGGTGACGCCACCACCTCTTGCTTCTCTCCCTCCCCAGCGGCCGGCCCAGACCGGGGGAGTGCGCGGAGGCACCTCCACAGGCCTGGGCTGGCCAGGGGCTGCCCGCTCCAGGAATAAGGCAGGGACCTGGGCAGCCGGCGGCCAGGGAACAGTCGTGGGTCCGAGCGTCGGTGCCAAGAGCAGAGCCCCAGAGAGCCCCTGGGAATAGCTCAGCACCCCAGTCAGAGGCTGGGGCACGCAGCTCTTCAAGTCCAGGCCCTGACCTCTGCCCGCTCCAGCCTCAAACTGGCCACAGAGAACTCACTTCAGGCCACCTCCAGGTCACCCCCTCACCGGTCACCCAATACGCTCCCAGGCAAGGAGGGCAGCACCCCGCACCTGGCTTCTCTCTGCGCAGGCACTGGGCAGCCGGAGCCCCGCTGCCACCCACGCCCCCACCTCAACCCCAGAATGTGCCACTCTCAGGCTGCTTCGATCAGAAACACACCCCGAGCCTACAGAGGGCCCCCTGCAGTCAGCCTGTCACTGACAAGCTGTGGAGCCCCACGAGTCACTTCGTTCTTCCATGTGTCGAACCTCAGTTTCCCCGTCTGTAAAGAGGGGTCACCGTGAAGTTTAAAAGAGATGGAGGAGGAGCGAGTGGGAAGGACCGAGAGCAGGGTGTTCCCCAGGAGGACCCGAGTGTCTCCTGGGCGCCGAGGCCTCTGGCACCAGGAGGGGAGCTCTCGGCCAGGGCAGGTCCTGGCTGCTGAGGTGTCCGCGAGCCCAGCAAGGAGCAGGCGTCCTGGACGGGTCAGAGACCCCAGGCCCTTCGAAGCCCCTCGTCGGCCCGTCCATGCAGCCAGTCCTCGCGGGGCCGCACTGTCCGGAGGCCACAGGCCACGGGTGGCAGCCGTGGGGCAAGCCCTGCTGGCAGACCTGGGGGGAGGAGCCCCGCCAAGGCCGTCAGCCAATGGAGCACGTCCACCAGCCGGAACCGCCACCCTCAAGGCCCAGCCGGACGCAGGCTCGGGCAGGGAAGGCAGAGGACAGCTCCACACCTACACCAGGGGACAGTCCCGCCACCTGGAGTGCCTGCGTGCTGGGGCACCTGGGGTCAAGGGCAGTCAGCTCAAGCCCAGGGTACTCGGCAAGGTCCAGGGTGGGCGGCCAGAGACCCCGCCGCATGGTGCCGGCCAGGGTCCGGGCCGGGGCGGCCAGAGACCCCGCCGCATGGTGCCGGCCAGAGTCCGGGCCAGGATGGCCTCTGCAGCACCTGGAGCAGCCAAACCCAGGCGGCTGCCTGGACTCCTCTGAGCACCAGCAGCGCCAGAAGGCAGAGCCCTGGGGTGGGTCAAGCCCCGGGTCACTTGCTGTAGCCACCCTCTTCCCAAGCCTGGTCCTCATGCCCACAGGAATCCACGGCATCGGAAACCGATGATTCAGACAGGAAAACAGAGCTGCGAATCCAACACATGTAAGAGCGTCAGATTTTTCCCCACGTACTACGCCAGGTCCTCCAGGGTCACTTCTGGAAGGACCAACACTGGAGCCAGCCCTGCCAGCTGAAGGCCCATCCCCCTCCCGTGCGACACTGAACTTGTCGGAGGTGACCGGGGCAAGGTGGGGCGGCACTAACCAGCACCCTCCCTCCCCCGTGAGGGCCTCAGGCTGTCCACCAGACTGGACCACACGGCCAGGGGCTCCTCCTCCCCAGTCCCTGCCCGCCAGCCGCCAGCCCGGGGCTGTGGAGCACGTGGCCCCAGTCCGGGGGAGCCATTTCGCTCCCACAGCAGCCCCGCAGAAAGGGGACAGGCGGTCCCGGACTTGGCCGCGGGAGGACGCCCACCCGCAGCGGCGGCCCGCGGCTCGTGGTCGCGGTGGAGACGCGCAGACCCTTCCCCAGCGGT